CATAAAATGATTCTCGAGTTTTATAAAACGATCTTCGAGTTTCATAAAATGATCTTCGAGTTTCATAAAACGATCTTCGAGTTTTATAAAACGGCTTTTTGAGTTTTATAAAACGACTTCTCGAGTTTTATAAAACGATTCTCGAGTTTTGTAAAACGATTCTCGAGTTTTATAAAACGATTCTCGAGTTTTATAAAACGATTCTCGAGTTTTATAAAACGATCTTCGGGTTTTATAAAACGATCTCTCGAGTTTTATAAAACGATTCTCGAGTTTTATAAAACGATTCTCGAATTTTATAAAATGATTCTCGAGTTTTATAAAACGATTTCTCGAGTTTTATAAAACGATTCTCGAGTTTATAAAACGATTTCTCGAGTTTTATAAAACGACTCTTCGGGTTTTATAAAACTATTCCTTTTGTATTTTTGCGGGGAGTTTTGGCTATTAATTTCGTCGTACCGATTTTGACCCCAACATCATGGATCATATTATGGAGGCCACTTTGCTACCTTGAAAACTATTGCAAAGGTGTTACAAGCTGGATTCTGGTGGCGACATATGTTCAAAGACACACAAGACTTTGTTTCAAGGTGTGATTCTTGCCAAAGAAGAGGGAACATTACCAAGAGGAATGAGATGCCTCAAAATCCCATCCTTGAAGTTGAAGTATTTGATGTGTGGGGTATTGATTTCATGGGGCCCTTCCCATCTTCTTATGGGAACAAGTACATTCTAGTAGCTGTTGACTATGTCTCCAAATGATGCTAAGGTTGTGATCAAGATGTTCAAGAGAACTATCTTTCCCAGGTTTGGTGTTCCAAGGATTGTGATCAGTGATGGAGGTGCTCACTTCATCAACAAGCTACTAGAGGTACTTCTCAAGAAGAATTGTGTGAATCATAAAGTGGCAACTCCTTACCATCCCCAAACGAGTGGTCAAGTTGAGGTTTCTAACAGAGAAATCAAGTCCATTTTGGAGAAGATTGTGGGGGTTACAAGAAAAGACTGGTCTAATAAGCTTGATGATGCACTTTGGGCCTATAAGATAGCTTACAAGACTCCTTTGGGTACTACACCTTTCAACCTTGTGTATGGGAAGGCTTGTCACTTACCAGTAGAGCTTGAGTACAAGGCATTATGGACAGTCAAGTTGCTGAACTTTGACATCAAGAGTGCCAAGGAGAAAAGACTTCTACAACTACATGAGCTTGATGAGATCAGGATGGATGCTTTTGAGAAATCAAGAATCTATAAAGAGAGAACCAAGGCCTTCCATGACAAGAGCATTCTGAAGAGAGAGTTCAAGGAAGGAGATCAAGTTCTTCTCTACAACTCTAGGTTGAAGTTGTTCCCAGGGAAGCTCAAGTCAAGGTGGTCAGGGCCATTCAAGGTTAAAGAGGTTAGACCATATGGTGCAATAGTTTTGTGGAGTTCTGATGGCAAAGAATTCACAGCAATGGACAAAGAGTTAATCTCTACATGAACACTACACCTAAGGAAGATGGGACTTCGATTCCACTTTCTGATCTTACCTCCGCCTAATCCTCATAGAGCCACAGTCAAGCTAGAGACTTAAAACAAGTTCACTTGGAAGGAAGTCCTATGTCTATCCTTGTAAATAAAAAAAAACTAATAAAAAAGAAGTATTTTCGGCTAGGTTCATACCGGGGTCCAGCAGCGGAGTCGCGGGGTCGCTCCCGTCTAGAGCAGAGGTTTGCAGCGGGGTGCAGAGGGCCGCTCGGCTTCACGCATCGCAGATAAAAAAATGCCCGCAGCGGGGTGCCGCGGCGGGGTCACGACTCCGCTCCTGTCTGCAGCGGCCGTGTCCCAGTGGGGTGCCGGGGTCCGCTCGCTTTTCCGGATCACAGAAAGAAAAGAGTTGCAGCGGGGTGTGGCAGCAGGTGCAAGGGTCTGCTCCACGGTCACGTAAGTCCTATATCCTTCAAAAACCGGTTCAAACCGGCCCTAAACCGACTTAAATCGGACAAGACGCCATTAATACATCCCCATCGACATCATCACTCTCATTCTCCCCCTTTTCTTACCATCAAACTCTCCCAATTCTCTCAAAACCTAAAACACCATAACTCAATCAATCTTTCACCAAATCAACTCATTCTTCTTCCTAAATCAAAGTTTTGATCCCTAGAATCTGTTTTGTGTTTCAATTTGTCATTTCCATTTCATCACAGCAAGGTATGGAGTTTTTAAGATTCAAATTCGTGGGTCGAAAAACCCTATTTTTGAAAACTTGAATTTTGCTCAATTTCTTGCTTGATTATGGTGAAATATGCTAGGGAATGCTTATATATCATGATGGGTTGTCAAAATTGTGATGGATTTGAGTTGAAAGTGAACTTTTAAAAATTAGGGTTCTTGAGATTTTAAGGAACTTCATAATTGTACAAATTTGAGTTTGATTGTAGCCTCTCTAACTAAATTGAAGAGTTTGAATGCTTATGTGAAGAGTCTTTCAATTCTTAAACTCATTTGACCACTGAAATTGAAATCTGGATGCTAATGTCTCTTTGAAGGCTTGATTTTGTAGGCACGATGGCAAGGACATATAAAGATAAGGATGCTGCAAAAGCAAAAGAAAAAGCAGACAAAGAGACTGCTTTGAGAGGAAAGGCTCTAACTTCCCTGCCTACAGAAGGATCATCTAGGCAACAAGTGTTGGCAGCTAAGAAAGCAAAAGAGCAAGAGAAGAGAGATGGAAAGAAGGTAGCAACCTCCAGCAGAATTGAAAGTGAGGAAGAAAGTGGAGAAGAGCCAGCTCCAACCAAGAAAGCAAGGAGGTCTACTGATGAGGAAGCAAAGCCCTATGCTGAAAGAGAAAAAGACGCGAAACCAACTTCTGCTGTGTTTCTAGACTTCCTGAAGACTGGTGTGAGTTGGCCTGCTACAAGGTTTGGGGATACGGAACTGATGGAGGAGATTGGTATTGATGAAGACGTCAAAGCTATGCTAGGCAACATGAACATGTCAAGCTTCTACTCGTTTGCTCATCCCACCTACAAGGAGTTGTCTACTGAGTTCTTGGCTTCATTGGTGGTTACTTACCATCAAACTCAGCATGTGAGGCAAGGATGGGGAAGATAACTGATGTCACTCAAATGTTTAACCCTAAGGAGTGATTTACTCTCTCAAATAAGAGATTCAATCGTAGTACTTAGGGATCGAATCCACAAGGAACTAGAGTCACAAAAGATATAGTCCTAAGTAATTAAGCTAGGTTGAAAAGGTTTGAAAAATAGATAAAAGTTGGTAGCAATGGTAAGTTCCTAAGGAAAATAGGTTTTGAGTTTAAAAACAATGAAAGAAAGTAGTTAGATTCAAGGTTACTATTCAGAAAATCAGGATTATAAATCTATGGATGTCTTAACGAATTGCTTGCAAATATATGAGAACTTCAATCCTTAGACAAATCTATAGCTGTCGCTATTAGACTCGTCCATTGATCTGATTGCCGACAATATCGATCGATGTTGCTATCGCAGTTTCGATCGATATATGTTGCCGTCGATCGATGACTCTATAGGAGTATCGATCGATATAGCATCAGATCGAATTGAAACTGTGTTCACCCAAGAATTTCTATTAAACCGCCTATCGCACTTGCCTAATAGAGTCCGGACTTAGCCAAATGATTTCAGGATGATGACTATTAGATTAGTCACTCCATAATCATAACTCTATGTAGCAAATCTAGAGTAAGCATTAGGGTTCATTTGGATAATGAATATAACAACTCAACACTCCATAGTTGGGGCTAATCCCTCATAACTATTTGAACCCCAAATCTAACAAATGATTCTACTCAGACTTAGCCAAGAGATTCATAGCAAAAGAATAAGATGAAAAGAAAATACTTTTAACTAAGTATAAAATAGAATACAAAACTTAGATAAAAACTCAATACTTTCTTATTTGATCTAATGATGTCTTTCTAGGACTCATAGGCATAATCATAAATATGAGTACAATTAGGTTAAAAACTCGTCAGGGGCAATCTTGTAATTTGGTGAGAACTTGGGCTTCAAGTTGGCCAAGTAAATCTTGCTCATCACGCTCTGTATCGATCGATGGTACGTGGTGTACATCAATCAATGGAGTATCTCGACTTCATTTTCTACGGAAGCGTCATCGATCGATTACACAAGGTGTGTATCGATCGATATGTGTCTCTCATTGTCGGATCTTCACAATCATCTTGGAAAACTCTCATTTAAGCTCCATAAGGAACCTAAATCATCACTTGACTACAAAATGCTCCTGAACCTGAAAACATACCTAATAGACTCCAAAACATAGATAACTATTATAAAAACATATCAATACCAGGACCCAAAACGGGTCAAAATCATGGTATATCAACTCCCCCAGACTTAACCTTTTGCTTGTCGTCAAGCAAACTTTAAGTGAGTCTTTGAAAGAAGTTTAAAAACAGCAGGGACTCACAATCCCACGGGTCCTTAAACTCCAAGAAAAAGCAACATGCACTTAAAGTCATTTACAATCACAATCCCACGGGTCCTTAAACTCCAAGAACACTCTTTACATGTCATCATCATCAGACCTTCCTCTCTCCGTCATCGGAGGCGCAGACGACGAGGATCGAGGATAATGTGGAGGCGCCGACGACGACGACGAAGAGGAGACGAAGACGGCAAATAGGAGAAGAAGACGGCAATGCAGAAGTGAGATGAGGAGACGACGGCGAATCTCTTTTTTTTTTAATTACTCAAAGGAAGGGGTATAAAGGTAAATGATCCACTTTAATGAAATCTATTTTTGTGACTTTTGGTCTTGGGTGCTAGTTTGGGGACAAAAACTTGGTTTGATGTTATACTCGGCTTTTTCTGTATATATTTATATATATATCTAAGTAAATATTTATAGCAAATGATCTGCATATACTTTCCATATTATGAAAGCTGTCCTAAAAGAATATACAGTCTTTGCGGTCAAATACTCAAAAGAGATATAAGAATATGTCACGCCTGTTGCTGCTGTTGTTGAACTACCAAAACAGAGACCTTAGAGCTAAGCTCTTTAGCGGCTAAAAAATCTCCAATGACACCTAACTCTGGAAGTTCGACCCAATCTGTAAGTCCTAAAAAGTTTGGTGATGCAATGCCTTGATCTCTTCCAACCAGCATAAGATCATGCTCGTAGGCCAGAAATTGGACGATGCTGGCAACCTCAGCTCCACTGGTCAGATTCCTCTCTGTGTAATCAACATTGTTCATTACGTCTGCAATCTTGAAATCCTTTAAGCATTCATTGTCCAGAATGTACTCCCAGTTTTCTGGCCCTATTTCTTGTTTGAACAAGAGGCGGATGACGGTTACACGAACCCTTGGGTTATGTTTCATCCTCCTCACCAAAGATAGTGCCTCTCTATCATCTTTGCCTCCGATAAAAATAACACCGACATCGATATTGTAATTTTTCTTGCTCGCTACATTGCCTTTGCGTGAGAAATGTCCACGATCAATTAGTATTCCAATAGAACAAGGCGCACTCTCTAGCAACGCTTGGTTTAGTCGCCTTGTGGCATCGTCATCTGATTCGAACATCCCATCTGCGGTCCATCTCCTCCCTGAAGGGACAATAATCATTGACGCTGTCTGGTCAAGTGCGAGCGTGCAAATATCTTCGTGCATCATCTTCTCATGCGAGAATGCCGTGAAAGTGGCTACTGTTACGGACTTCAAGCCTTCGAGCATGAACTTTCTGAAAGCAAGGTTTGCGGTATGGATGTACGAGTCGGTGTGAAGCCGTTTCGACTTCTTATGGTCGGAGATTAGAACAGGATTGATCTGACCTACTAGCTTCACCAGATAGAGAACCGTGACCGCGATTGGGAAATCTAGGTTTGGTGAGGACAACAACTGGAGGAATGCAATGGCCGCAGAGACGTTCTCAGGTCTGTGCAAACAAGTTAAAATCTGGAGACTGGAACTTGGTTCCAAATGCAATATGTTCCGTTTTTGGTAATTAACGTATTTCCTTTTCGGATCATACAATCTCCTTAACACTACTGGAACAATACCAGCACTTAGTAACGAATAAATGATCAAGAACGCGTACGTTGCCTGTGATATATACTGTAAATACAAACCATATAAAAAGTATGTCACCATCACGCAAATAAAAAAATAGATTATTATGATAATATTATCTTGTTTTTAAGAGTAGAAAATTACCGCGTCGTCTAATACGGACTCATAGAGAACGAAATCAGCGAAACTTTTATAGCTCAAGATGATGGAAATGGCCAGGGATTCGTTGAGAGGTAATTTATAGTACAAGCAAGGTGCAAGGCATGCGACCAGTTTTAGGAGAAGTGTTAATGCCGTTAAGAAGATGTTAACGAGGATGTGACTGAACTCTGTGAACATCCTTATTGCATCGCTTCTCATCACGCTGACAGTGATCGAGATTGGTAAGAAGACGTTCATCGTGAGCTTCTCGTACTTAGTCTCCAACGCCGATCCTAATGGTGGACCTTCGGGTATGACAAGACCGACCACTAATGGTCCCAACACATATTTCATGTTAAATATCATAGAATAAACAGAGGAAGCCAATGCGGTTAGAACAACAGCGTTAACGTACATATTCTTCACGGGTTTGCCTTCCGGTGTGCGATCTATCATCCATTGCACGATGGGCTTAAAAACAAGAAAGACGACGAGAACGAAGATGACCACTGCGATAGCGTCACGATAGGCAGTTACATGTGAAACATTCTTGTACGTTGCGTGAACAGAAGCGAGTACTATGGAAATTGTCCCAAAGATATCGTTGATGACACATGCAGACAATGCAAGGCGGCCGATCTCGGAGTTGAGGATCTTGAGCTCTAACAAGATGTATGTTGTGGAAGGCAAAAGTATAGAAGACTGTGTTATAACGATCGCTGTGCGCTCGCCTAGTCCTGTTTTCAGAGGCATGTAATTAGGGTCAATGCTGTCAGAGAAGAAGTTCTGGAAACCGAGACCAAACAGAGGAGCAAAGAAGGACAAAATCCCGATCACAACGGGTAGCTTTCCGCTAATGAACGCCACTCTCCGGCTGGTTCTAAGACTCATCAAAAAGTTAAACATTATGGTTCCAAACACTGAGATGCTTCTTAAGGTAGCGTTTCCATCTAACGCAGGATCCTCCGATACTTTCCCGGAAGATTTCTCTAGCACATCACAAAGCTGGGGCCCTAGAATCAGTCCAGCCTACACGTATATTTATATGTTCGTGAGTTAAAACAAAAAAAAAAGGGTAGCGCACAGGGTGCTGTTTAAACAATTTACTTGCATTTCAAGCTAAACCTAATTTTGTTTTCTCTTACGTGCTTTGTCAAGTTACATTTTGGAATATACTTCTTTTTCATATGGGAATATACTTACGATCATGTAGGAAGCGATCTGGGAAATGCCAATGCGTCTGAGGAACATATGAGTCATCACGATGAAGATAAATACGAGTAATATCTGAATCTCTAAAAGAGGTAGCGAATACCCAAAAATCATATCGGGTGACTTTAGATTGCCCCACAATCCATCAGATGAGATGTTGAAGAACGACGATGTGCAATCGCCATAAAAAATGGTTGTATTCATGAACAAAAATGCTTTAATTTGTGTCTTTGGATTTGGGTTTCGTGAAAAGGCGTGTAATATTGTTGTTCAATTTTTGTTTTTCTTTTAGTTTTAATAAGTATCTATTTTTGTAAGATTTGGTTAGAATCGGAAGAGGTTACATTTTTTGACGCCTATGACTTGCTGATAGCATCGTGCAAAGCTGGAATACGCTTTGACCTCAGGCCTGATTCAAAGTATATTTACTAACTAGACCATGACCGGGCGGGTGTTTTGTTTTCTTTTAATTTTTAGGTTTATACTAAATGATGTAAAATAAAAAATGAAGTATCAATTAAATGGTTAAATTACTTATGGGTTTAATTTTGACAGAAGAATACCGAAAAAATTTGCTGTTTGATCCGCGCAAGTGTTTGTTTTTATATATTCTATAAGTGATAATATATATTTCTAAATTTACCGGTTTAAATAATTGTTTAAAATGACATTTTAAACACATAATTTTATAGTTTATATTGAGTAATTTTATTTTATCTTATAAACTATCATTGTGTCATACTTATTTTAAAAATATGACCCGTATATTTGCACAAATGTTTTTATTTTATTTTTATGGATCAAAATTTTATGATAAAGTATAACTAAATTATTTTATTTACTATTTAAAATATATGGTCCTATATATTTCTACTTTTTAACTTTTATTATTCTGAATTTACCTTGAACTATTATTTATATAAAAATATACATAACATGATATGTTTATATTAATCTTTTTATTATATATTATATAAATGTTTCTTTTTGTGACTTTTATTTTAGTTATTAGTTATAAATAATAAAAATATAATTATATATCTTTGAAAAAAAATATTGTTTATTAACTATTTAAAGATATGTAGATAATTAATAAGAAAAACAAATCCTAAAAGGTAGGTTAATTAATATTAGAATTAAATATTATTTATATGGAATTAGTAAAACAATTTCTATATAATTTATTTATTTAATTACGAAAGGTATATATGAAAATAATTATTTTCGTTAATTATTGTTGCCATAATATTTTATAGTTAAAATTTGATTTTGGAAATGCATTAATTAAAGTGAAAAGACAAAGAATCCTATAAGATAGGGTAATTAATAACTTCAGTGGCATAACATTGTAAATAATTAGAAAAACTCATGGATATTTTATATGGGTACTTCTCTTTTAATAATATAGATATGCACTATCAAGATATTTAGCACCCTTTCTTATACAAATCAAATTTTGAAGACTACTTTTTATAAGAAATCAAATGATAGGAACTTAAAATATATAGAAAATTTACTGAAAAAATTGGGTTGTTATGCATTGGCACAGTTAAACATGTCTAAAACCGGCACTGGTTGACCAATTCATAAACATCCATACTATTAAAACTGAATGTCTTTTTCTTTAAAATACCCTTCTATTTTGAAAGTAATTACAATCACATGCCACTGGAATATTTTAAACTTATGGTTTTCATTAAATGTTTTTTTTATTTTACCAAAAATAACCAATTAACCATATCCAGATTTCGTGTAACCGTTTCCACTTCTTTAGCTAATTACTATGTGTAAATATACTTATAATATCTATATTTATAATAACCTTCTGAGATTCTGCCCCTGTTTTCCAATTATTTACAAGAGACTACCACTGTATTTTCTTGCTATTTTTTAAAAACATGCTACCAATAATTAGAGCCAAGCAAAATTTAACTATTTACAAAAAAATTACATTGACACATTAAAAAATCTATTTTCGTCTTTCTCTCAATTTTTTTCCAAACTAATTTCCTCCAAAAATTCAAACCAGTTACATTCAACCATTATTCAAAAACATACAAATAATACAAAACAATACGGTTCCAGTCAGTAGCGGACCCAACCAGAAATTTATGTGGTGTCATAAACCATGTAAGTTTTTAAAAAGTAATGTAAATGGTCATTGGGTGGCATTGAACCCAATATCTGTGGATTCAATACAGCATATTCCTACCACTGTACAACAATTATTTATTAAATAATTGTATACAAACTGCAATTTATACAATATTTGTTGTGTCAGTTGACCCCACACTCTCCCAAGTGGATCCACCTCTGGTTCCGGTCGCTAGATCACTACACTATAACACCAACCGAAACTCATCTAATCTACAAACCAATTACATACAAGCATTGATTAATATAATTCTATTTTGTGTCGATTTTTTAATCAGTTACATTCAATAAATTAAAACCCGTTACTTTCAAGCATTTTTTGAAAACATACAAACTAGAAACCCTAAAAACATACGGTTCATACCTTAAATCTCTACAATATAAATTTGAGCTACACAACCCCTAAACCCTAACATACCTACAAACCCTAAGCTTGGTCTTACGCTTATACATAAATTATTATTTTTTTTTAAAAAAAGTGGTTGTTATATGAAACATTCAAGTTATATAATTTAACATTAAAGTTAAATAAATTTGAGGAGATTTTAAATTAGTGTAATATGAAAAATTAACAGTATAAATTTTCACTTAAAAATGTTTTTTCAGTATAACGTACCGTAATATGTGATATATTTGTATAATATTTACTGCTTACTATTTTTAAAGTCATTTTGATATTATTATGCTACATATTGAATATTCATTTTGTAAAAAATTATTCACCAAACAAAATCATAAAATAAAAAAAAATCTTTAACAATCTATTTAACAACTTTTATAAATAAATATTAAGTGATTTAGCAATTCTCCTAAAATATAGTAACCAAATTTTGAGCTTATCATTAAATTAGCCATAATATTAGGCATGTGTCATATTCACTAACCAAAATCAGTGCATAGTTAATACTAAAAACAATATATATATATATATATATATATATATATATATATATATGTATATCCTAAAATATGGCAACAGAATTAGAGCAAATCATTAAAGCCAACGATAAAATTAGGCTTATGGCATACTTTTGATCCGGTTAGCTACGAATTTCTCTTTTTCACGGCTAAATAAAAAAAAAACTCACAATACATCGTACTTATTATAAATATAGAGAATGCTCCAATCCACAAGGTCAGAAACCACAGACTTCAGGATAATACCTATGGCTTCTAATATGAATTTTTCGGCTATTAAAGATTTGAAGCCTTAGAAAACAACTTGGGTAGTGCATGTGAAGGTCTTACACACATGGAAACAACAAACAGTCGACACCATGGAGATCATCTTAGCAGATGAGAATGTAAGCTTTATATTTTGACCTATTTGTCTACAGAATATTACAAAAAATCGCGTCATTTTCAAATTCATGTTTCATGTTCGTTCTAACCAATTTTATTCATATTTTAACATGTAAAAGGGTCAAAAAAATCCATGCAACATGCAAAATGAATTACCTATAGAGTAAAAGAAAGCTACTTCCGTTGGTGCATGGTGAAACATTCAGAACTTTAACCTGACTTCTGCTAGAGGATTATACAGACCAACAAATCATGCATACAAGATGGTGTTTGTTCAAACCACAGACATACTCGGTGTAATCACATTAATGATAATTTGTATCTTACTTTGGTTGACTTTTAGACAGTTTTTTTTCTGGATCGCTATGACAGTTTCTTAGTTGGTGATTACATAATTATTTTAACATTTTAACTTTATATTTGAAAAGTAAAAGTACTAATCTATTATAATATTTTGCTTGGTTTTTCAGATGTGCTAAGGCAGGTTTTGGATTGTGGTGATGCTGAATCAATTCAATGTACTTGTGGTAAGGAAAGAAAGAAACTTGAGTTCACCCTTCACGACATCAAGTAAGGATTCACAAATTTCAATTTTTATATATTCAGTAAACAAGTTGATAGTGATGTTCGATTACCATGTTGCCTATGGGGTAAATTGGCTGAGCTTCTCTACTCTTCTTTCACAGAAGAAGATGGAATGGTAGTTTGTTTGTTGAGGTGGACTAAAATTGGAAGGTTTAGAGGTGACTATTTCATCTACACTTTCTTATATACTATCTATATTTATCAAATTATGACTAACTTTAACTGAAACTGTTATATAATGCATTTGAAACTTCTCCAGTGGTGATCAATCCGGCAATACCAGAAGCAGAAGAATTTGAATATATGTGGGTTCTAATGTTATATTATGTCTTCGAAGCGTTTCTGTTTTTTTATTTATTTAAATAATTAATGTAATATGCAATTTTCAAATAACAGGTACAGTGAGTATACATCACTTACAATGACTCAAGGTAACAAGGTTATGCCACTGTAAAACAACAACCAACTGGAGCAATCCGACAATCGAGTTCAGCGTGATATGTGATTGACCTTCCCCACTAAAAACATTCAAGAAATTTAAGCATCAAATCAGGTAATGACTTTAAAAATTGTCTATACTATTGATAATATAATCTTCTATACTGTTAAACATAAATATTTACTATTAAAGATTCAATTTCAGTGCCAAATCTTAGTTCCGGTTTATTTATTTTCATGATGATTTTAAGGGTTTCAATCTCTAACTTGGACTGATGTTTACTGGATTTTTTTCCTATTCAACTGGATCTTCTTCTTCGTTCTGCATGTACTAATCTGAAAAACTAAAAATATTAGGAGAAAAAGGAGACAAATCGGAATCAATAGTTATTGTATATATATGATTTGTACCTCGGATTGTAAATCTGGCTAACATATTCCGATCTCTAGCTTCGAAATCGTTATTCTTTAAAAGGATATGAGTTTTGACCCATTGAATCTCGGTTTCCCCTTTGATAGGAATCGTCGGGAGATTTAAAGAAACTAGATCTCAACCCGCG